AGGGGCTCCTGGCATCGCTACTAGGAACAAGGACGCTACTAGGGGCTTGTGGCCTTACTAGTAGGAGCAAACACGCTACTAGGGGCTCCTGGCCTTACTACTAGGAGCAATCACGCTACTAGGGGCTCCTGGCCTCACTACTAGGAACAAGAAACGCTAGCCTTTCAGGGCCTGTTAGCCTGCCAGAGGTTGGTTTGGTACCTTGAGCTGGCACGACAAATGTTCGAAAGCCCTGGAGTCCTGCATTTGTGCTGTGCAAGTCAATGGTTTTGTTTTCAATCACTCAGACATACCCGGACTCAGACATCTGTTTTTGACACTGCGATGTGAGGCAATATCAAGTGGTGGTGCCAGCGGGCAGTGAGGCTCGGGACACGTCGGACACGGTCGGACACGCAAGACTGCGCAGCACTGCCTTTGTATGAGGGTATGAGAAGGGACAAAAATGAGAGGAACTTGTCAGGAACCACAAGACACGTAAGACATGATTTAAGGTCTTGACCAGACTATTTGAGACCATATCCTCTTGCAAACTCCAACTTTGGAGTTCTTCTTCCCCGCTCCTTGTTTTGTTTTGCACGTCAAGGCCTCCGTGGTGGCCAGTGCCAACTCCTTGGGCAGCTCGAACAGCTTTGAGGCCTCCTTGGCAGCGGAACTGGTGGCTGAAGGCATCAGCAGCGGCACGGTTGCACGCGGGGCGACTGGAGAGGGATGGGCGGCAAGAAGTGCACTGTTTGGGCGTCAAACCGTTCAAAGTTAGAGTAAAATGGAACATGATGAGAAACCAATCGACCAAAAACATGCGGCCTGGATTCGCAGAAGCGACCAGGTGACCCAGATGAATGCATAAAGCATGTCAACACGCTGGTTTCGCTGCCTTTCTGTGCCACCAAGGTTCTGACGTCGCTGGCTTGACAGTAGTGAGCTTTTCGACAGTATCGGTGCTTTGTCAGCAAAATACTTATCCGATGCTTTTCGCCAGCACTCGACATGCTCAGTCTATATAGATTGCTTTTATGCTGATGCTGGTGATGAGCCCCCATTTTGCAAGTTTCCAGGTGTCCTTTGTCTTCCCAGAGTCCGTGACACCGCTGTTTTCAGCGAACCAGACTGAGAATGCCACAAGCATCTTCGAGGCTTTCGGATGTGCAGTTGCTAGCTGCGGGACGAATCCGCATCGCGGGCGGCGTGGAGGGTACTGACACAGTCAATGGGTGCAATGGTGGTGGTGCTTCTGGTGAACATACTGTGCTTGTTGTGCTACTGTTTCTTCTCGTTTCACAAGAGGCTCCTAATCCAATTACTGTATGTGCAACATGACCGTTCTTGCATCATTATGTTTATGGTACTGTAGTAATTGTGCTATGGATGTCTGAGTACTATGGTATTGCAATGGTGTTTGTTTGTTACGCCACTTAGATGCTGCTTACAGTTGCAGACACTGCTCGGCAGACTTTGGAGTTGGAGCTGTCATTAGTTTGCGCCAGTTCGTCCAATGAGAGCTAGTCACCGAATGAGATCGATCTGCAACAAGATACCTATAGCCTATGTACTTCAATTGGCCAGATTGAACATGTTTTTTTGTCGCCAAAATAAGACAAGTGTATCAACATGCATTCAAAAATACTTGAGTCTGACAGCTGGCACGTGGGAATTGGGCATGTCGCTTGCTGGAAAACACTGTGCACGCATTCTGAGCAATCCTTTGAAAGGCAATTCAACTGTCGCAGGTCATAACCACAAGCTCTACCAGGACCACAACCACGAGCATCACAACCACCAGACGTTCCAATGCCAGTGAGGATAGTCACGATGTGACTCGGCAAATGAGATGCCCTTTGTTCCTAGTAGCTTTTGCTACGAGGAGTAATGCCAGGAGCTACTAGTAGCGTCCTTGCTCCTAGTAGCAATGCCCTTTGCTGCTAGTAGCTTGAAGGACCTGTAAAACTATTACTTGCTAAAGGGGAGGAGCGCGCTGAACCTCGCAACAGTGTTGGTTCATTGATCCGCCTGTTGAGGACACCTCTA